CCAGGTTTTCTTCTCCAAGAAACAAGAATCTGAAAAACGAAACTTGAAGCAAAACAAAATACTCATAATTATGGCTTGTTCCCTATCCATTCATTTTCATATCATATTTGAATGCTGGACTAGCTTTAGCTAAAGCTGTTAAGGACCAGCCCATTTCCTGCCACCCCAGTCATCCTCCCAGGAAGAAACATCTGCAATATCTAGCCTGACCAACCCGCGAGGCTCCATCTAGAACCTGGTCACCACTTTCTGATGATTTTCCATGGCTGATAAGAAACCTGACTCCCACCTACAGCTCTATACAGCTCATGGACTATGGACATCTATTTAAAGTAATCATCTCTGGCATAATATACTGCCATTTTACATAAATGATAGTTCCAACACAATATTATCTCTTTGAGAAGCTGCAAAGAAATAAAACACAGTTAGTCCTTGCCTGCTCTCTGCATCTAGCTTGAACAACATCTGAAGTGGGAACTGAAAAAAAAAAAAACAAAAACCAGCAGGAATACAGTAAGAGGAGACTTCAGCATCTTCCTGCACCATAAACATTGTCCAAACACACGTGGAAGCCAGGCACAGGCAGGTTTCTATCTATATTCTTTCCAGTAGCATATTGATACCTTTGGTCTTTACTGATTCAGTATCATTTCAAATGAATTCACCTGAGCATTAACTCTGTCTTCTGCACCCTAGTGATACTTGTTCTTGAGCAAAATTAGAAAGAACTCAGAAAAGGTGGAAGACCCTCTAAAATGACATCTTCCCTCTATGAAACTCACATGGCAGCAGCAACTTCACTAGCTCTCCCCATTCCAGGCAAGATGAAGACCCTGTTTTCAGTAATTGAATCCGTCATATTCAAATTAAAGCCTCCAATTTCTGAAGCAACAAGGTACACAGTGTGCTCAGTGAGAATTCCCTCTTCCCCATCTCTCTCTCCCCATTTTCAGTAGCCACCATACAGCCCAGTGACTATTTAGTTCTATTTTCTACAGTAACAGTGCCTATGGAGACACCAGACAGTCATGCCTAGTCTTGTAAATTTTTTGTCCCTTATCCTGTGACAATACCTTCACGTGATCCTGTTTCATTTGGAGCAAATATTAAATAATAGAAGTTTTTTTGTTTTTTTTTTTTTAATGAACACTTGCCCTCATATATGGTATTTATTGTAATTCAGAACATATCAGATGATTTCAGTTACTCTGATTTGCAAGGACAGCTAAGTAACTAAAAGCAGAGAGACAGCCACTGTAACCCAGGGACATTTTAACCAAACAGCAAAGTAATTTAATTCCAACAGAAGGCAGCATGGCCCAATGCAACTTGATATGCATGTCACATTACCAAATTTTAAAGTCATAATCACAAAAAAAAAAAAAAAGCACAAAATCTAGATATGATCTCTAAATATAGAGTTGGTCTGAACATTGGCCATTTACAAAACAGGTGGGTAGGCATTCATCTTGTTACTCAGCAACATCCCCAAGTCGTTGCTGTTAACCACAGAAAACGTTTACTTTTCAATGTGAACTATGACACCAACAAAAATGGAAAGAGTTTAGTCAGGTGATTTTCAGCTTGTAATGAGAGAAACAGGGGGAAAAAAAAAAAAACCCAACACATTAATTTGAATTATTAGAAAACATCTTGGTAAGTTTAACTATGACAAAGTAAGGCTCAGCTTGGAGTTTGAGACAGCCGGGCATGATGTAGGCTGCATGACCATAACAATTTCCAAAGAAATTACTTCAAGCTCAGTCCAATCCTCATGCTGGCATGCTGTTGTTTACCAAGCAGGCAGTTACGCATGAACCCATACTTTAAAAACAACTAGCTAATCTCAGCTATAAAAAGAAGCATTTCCAAGGGGGTTTCTGGATGGGTTCACAATGCAACACCTGTGAAAATGCACTGAAGAGGCATAACAGCTCAGCAAGAAAAGCATGCCAAGGATGCTTCCTTGAAGACTGGAGCCATAAATATTAAGTCTTATGCTCCAAGCATACTGTTTTCCTGCCTCTAACCTTATGCTAGTTCACATACAGGTCATATACGACATGGGAGATCCAAATGAAAAGATCCGTGTTGAGACCCTGGAGCCAAGTCATTTGTCCCACCTTTACTCATCATGTTCAAGACCTCCATTCCTTCATTAAATGAAGTCTTGAACATCTGCAGGCAGAGAAATTGTGAGGTCTGCATTCATACCAGTCATACTTGGTTTTAGTTCTGTAGCAGAGAGTCTTCTGGATAGAAGTCTCACAAGCCTTTAACTTGGGTCTTTAGCATAATTCCTTTAGTCTACAGCAAAACTTCAATAAAACAGTCCTTTGAATTTAAAGAATTCTATTTTGTACTAGACAGAAGCTTTTGCCTGTCCCTTTGAGATATCGATCCAATTTCTGTATCATTTATGCTTTGCCAGTTTTAATCTGATCAGCATCATACTCAGCCCAACATATTCATCAAACTTGCACTTAAAAAGAGCATTTTTTGAAACATCTTTCTATAAAAAAATACTGCAATGCCAGTATAGTACTACACACCATCTCAGCCAATTTTCATAGCACGTCATCTGTAGCCCTTACTCAGTACATTGTTCAATGGCAGTACGCAGTGCTGGAATCCAGTATCAGCATGATGAAAACAAATTAACAGCTACCAAAGGAATGCAATTAATTTTTTTGCAGCTAACCATAAAAACTATCAATTAAGCAAGGCACATAATAGACTATAAATCTAACAGAACTTAGTCGTTTCATTTGTATTGGGTTTTGGTAACTGCAGTACATTTTCTTAAGATCTGCAAATAAGGACATAAATGTTCTGTTCATGACTGACGCCATATTAATTTAGGTAATAAGCAATTAATTTATTTTAGAATGAAGAATAATTATCTAAGCATTGAAATTTTTCTGTCCCACATCTGTCTGGCAACAATGGTAAGATTCAGGGAGATGCAGAATTTAATTCTACATGGCAGAACTGTATATTTACCTACCTCTAACAGCCTGTCAAGACTAATGACCAAACAATCAAACAAAGGAGGCAAAGATAAACATGTTGTACCCATCCTGCAACCTTCAAAAACAAACAAAAAAACAGCAACAAAAAACCCACCCCATTTGAGCCTATTGTTCAATGTAAATGAAATCTTCCAGTCAGAAGTAAATACTTTCAGACAGAACGCAAGCATCCCTGAAAATCATTTCCTGAAATGAACCTACCCCTCCCCCAGTCAAAACTAGAGAAGTAAAAGCGAAAGCTGAAACACTAAGTCCTTGCTCTTGTTTATCAGTTAGTATGGGCACAGTGCTCAACCATCTGGTTGGGATTAGCAGTCCTAACACACTGACTGCAGTGGCAATATAAGGTCATTCCACAGCCTGGCTTCTTTCCTCATACACGGATAATGTTATACCAGGAAACCGTCACAAATCACTAGCCAGATTTCCAAACACATCAAGCTGCCTAATTATAGACACTATTTCCATTGCAGAAGAGCACTACACGTTGCCCAATCTTTAACATTAATTGTAGCTGACTTTTTCCAGAAACTAATAAATAATAATGTAACACCAGTTTCATACTCAACATATTCAGAATGCACCGTTAGCAGAAAGTGAAATACTTTTAAGATATTAACGTGCAGGCACACACATCCTGATCACATCCAATATACCACTGCAGTGTCTCTGAGATGCATAGAATGTTACTACCTCCACATGAGTGCAGTGAAAGCTGACTATAGGTGCAAATCCACTTCAGATTTGCAGAGCTCCAATTTAGAATTGGAGCTGCATTTCTGCATATAATGAGTACTCAATATTTTTTCCCCCCACATGCATTGAATAAGAAATCTAAGAAATAAAGTACAGTCATTACACCCAGTTGACATGTGGAGGAAAGAACAGAAGGCCAAATTACTGAACTGTTATTTTTGTCAGACTTTAATACAAACAGAAATAAGTGTCTTGGAAAGCTAGCAGAAAATGTCTGAAGGCAACCTGCTTTTTTCCACCTTGGGCGAGAAAAGGGAACTTCACTGGCTCTTATATCTGCCCCACTTAATGGATATCTGACTCTTGCATAACTAGCTCTGAAAAAATAGTGACTCTCTTCATAGTACTTTGACAACAAAGGCTGCTCATTACATGCATTTCTTTTCATCTTAAGAATTATTTGTGAGCCAGAATCACAGCACACATTTGAAGAACATACAATGGCAGAGAAGTACACATGCATCTGCAGAGAGCAGTATGTAAATCAGGAAAAACTAAAAACATCCAATTCGTACAAGGCTTCCCAATATGTTCCAGTAAACTTCAAGCCTACAAGAAGCCAAAGCACACAGGATGTGCCACTGGTGGACAGGAGATTGCTGTGACTATGATGTAAGAACAATGGCGTGGGAGAAGCAACAGAAGCTACTGCACAGGGCACTGAAAGCAGAGCAGGCCCAGCTGAGCCTTCCTGCCTTGCTCAGGAAAAGCCTCCTCCTCACACAGCATCCCTTAAGTCACACCAACCTTCAGTTAAGCAAAAAGCAACACAGGCGTATGGAGCTGGACTGCAGTGAGAGAGTTTAAGGGCAGCAGTTCCAGTAGCTCATTCAGGGCCTGCTTGGCATTCCAGTGTTGCAATTCTCACCGTGTCTCTTCTATTATCCCTCCCACACATATTGTATTGATCCCTTTTATTTGCTTCTCTTCTTGCTATATCCATTCAGAAAATTGCAGCAAAAATAAGATTAGTATCACATTTTTTCCTTTTTCAGTCAAATCTTCTTTGTTGAAAGCTCTCTGACTCATCACAAGCTCAATTCAGCAGGCCCAGCCAACTAACTGCAGTTGTGCAACAAGAGATGCCCCTGGTACTGCTAGACTGCAGCAACTTGCTTAGAAACACTCACCTGAGGGCTTCTGTGAACACATCTCCAACTTCAATCTGAACACTTTCAACTTGTATAACAAAGTCAGCATTTCTTTACATGGTTTCAAAAATCATGTTTATTCCTTGGTTTGAAAGATTTTGGTTCAACAGTATCATAAACAAACTTCACCAAAAGTGCAATAATTTTAAACATAGTCCTCAGTCGCAGTGTTAGTAAGAATCTTTACTTTCATCATAAAGTTCATTAATGCAACAGAAGGATGGTTTTGTTCTTCCTCCCTCATTGGCACTTAATTGTAAATTGGAGAAACTTTGAGAAGTCAGAAGGTTAATCTAAACATTATGTTACAAGCACCTTGCCATAGCATTATATTCTCATAAGGCAAATGTTTGTTTCATAAAGTCTGATTGTGCATCTTGGAGACCTATAAATGGTGACAGAAATGCCAGTCTTCTCCAATAAGAAATAGGCCTTCATTTTTGCTTCAATGTCTTCAACCCTCCACACTCCCTATCCCTTAAAAAACAACAACAACAAAAACAGTACAGCCAATAATACAGCACAATATATCCATTACAGGCTGAGAGGAAATTGCAGTAGACAAAGGCAGAAAACACAGTGCACAGTAGACAAAATAAGATTTTATAAGATAATATTGTTCTTAAAAAAAGGGGATGGGAAAAGGATAAAAAAAAGGAAAAAAAAGCTGAATATAAACAGCAATATAATTTTTCTAGTGGATAAGGATTTTTGGACTTCATAAATAAGTGAAAAATTACTAAAATCCTTTGCTATATAATATATAAAAAAGGCATAAAGTAGTGTTTTCCAGTTGTCACCTAAGCACTAGATGCAACTTTGTAGGAGTAAGTATTTGGAGGCAGCTTTGAGCTCTGACTGGTACAGGCATTCCAGCAGGGTAACGCTGCCAACAGCAGAAGAAATCCTCCCAGTAAAACACAAAAGCCACTGAAATAGAATGCAGAGTCATACTCCTGCGTCCAGTCATAAAACCAACCTGAGGGTGAAAATAAAAGAGAAGAGCATCAGTGAAGAGTTAAACAGAACACAGCACTGTAAATCAAAGGAAAATCATGGGGATAAAACAAAAGGTTAAATGTAATTCACACTATGACCACTTACACATGAAATGTGCTTTTAAGCAAAGCCAAAAACAGAACAAAATCTGGAGAAACAGGGTTTAGTTTTTAAGATTTTTATATCATCTTTCTATTGTTATTAGAACAAAGTAGGACTACCCACATACAAATGGGGTTCTGATAATCTCGTGTTAATTTTAACTTGACCTTACCTACAATTGGTGGTCCGAGGCTGTTTCCAAGTCCAGCAAAGAACATCAGTATCCCATAAGCATGAGTCAGTTTCTCAATTCCCACAGTCTTTGTTGTTACATATGGAAAAATTGACCAATTCCCAGTCAGAAAACCCAGAATCCCAGAAAGCACTGCTAATGTGAAGTAACTTCTGGCAAATGGAATTGCAAGCAAGGCTGCTCCCATCATTAGTAATGTAAGTACATATAGATACAATGTGTTAACCCACTTAAAATCTGCCAGTATTCCTAAAATAAGTTTGCCAATAGCAGTCATAATGCCTATAATGGAAACAAGGGGCATATGATAGTCTTCTTCATTGATGTTTGCACTTCTTGCTATATCTTCCATGAGCAGAGAAGGAGGAAATCCACCAATATCAAAGAGCAAAATGGCAAAAAAGAGAGCTGAAAATACTCTGTTCTTAAAAAGAACCACAGTTTCCTCCCAGTAGTTCAAATAGAGCTGCCATTTTCTTTTAGCTAGTTGCTTGCAGAAGTTTGTCTGTTCCACAACTTTCTTTTTATAAGTGTCTTTCTCATTTACATTTATTGAGCTTAATACATTCTTATTTAAAATATTATCTTGTTTGTAGTCAGGCACATTGTTTGTGCATTTCTCATCAGTGTAGCCCTTTTCAAGGATGCTTATATTTTCTTCTACAGTTTTTTCTTTTTCATGGTAAACAAAGTATTGATCTGGGACTTTGTCTATATGTGCTTTTTCTGTTGAAGGGGAATCAGATGACTCCAATGGTCTCATTAAGCTGCCACATGCTAATATATTTAGAGAGAGTGCACCAACTATTAGCAGGCAACCATCCAGTCCGTACAGCTCAATAAGCTCTCTTTGTAATGCTGCATATATAAAGAGTCCAACACTTGAGCCTATAAAACAAGAATAACATAACTGAGAACTTTGTTCACCAATAAAAAATTAACATTCCTGTGACAGCATATTTTGTAGTTGTTGAAATGCAGAAGTCATTTGTGTTCCTCTGTTCTCAATCTAATAAACTAATTACCTTCCCTGTTTAAGTCAGTTTCTTGATTGATTATGCACACAATATTTTTCAAAACATTGGAGAATTTATGATGATTAACACCAGCAGACACTTTTAGAAGCAAGTAGAATCCAGACAGTATCTTATGAAAATTATACACATATCCCTTTAGGAACCATGTTCAGTAACACTCTGAATCAGTTCTGTTAGAATTTCACATAAGACCGTTTTCTCCTTTCTCCTCACTGCTGCCACCTGCCTCCTCTAAGGAAGAAGGAGACCACTGGTTCACCAAGAGCCTTTCTACAAACAGCAGGTGACCATCCAGTGTTTAAAGAGAGTAGCTCAGAGCCTACAGGTAAATTTACTCCAGAGGCACTTCTGAAGCCCTACAGGTCCAAACATGCATTTGAGAAATCTGACTACTCAGAAGAAAATATTGAAGGGTAAGCAACTACAAGGAGCACAAGCATTTTATGCAATCCTACCAACGTAAAGTATGCACTCTTGGCTAAAGTGAGCATAGATTCATTGTATAATCAATGGATATCCACTCACAAATACAAAGCACTGATTTTTCAAGTCAATTTAAAGACAAATTTTTAATTATTTTCTGAAGAAACCTAGGTTTTATAAAAGTAATCCATACACTTGAATGTATGAACTAACACTCAAATAAGATCAAGTCCCACAGCCAACTGCCTGCAAACCCAATAAAAGCCACTAAAAGTATTTCTAGGGCACAATGCAGTAGTGGTTCCCCTTTATTACACCAGTGCAGGTCATCTGTACATAACTTGGAGTACTAACGGTACTGACCAGGCCCCTCTTAACTAACCACTGCTTGAGAAAAAGGATCAAAGACACAATACAACACAGAAAGACAGGTGTGGAACAGTACACTTCTTTAACTATTTCTACTTGGTTCATTAAGTTAATTTCTCCTGGTAAAAAGTGCAACACCACACAACCTAAAGACTGAGAAAGGCTGCTCAGCAGCCTTCAAAGAATTTCCCTTCTATTATCAGAGGTTCATTCTTCTAAGATCCCTTTCACATGCATGGATAAAAATTGGGATGAGCTTTTGGAACATTCTTTGAGCTTTCAGACATTCATCTTCCTTTTATACTGAAAAGGAAAACAAAAACAAGACTAAGCCCAAACTTTAACTCTAGTTTTTAGGAAATAGTTGATGAGAGATTATGTTAATCCAGCATTTATATTTATATCTCAAGTCTCTTTTATCTGTAATCTTGTGTAAGTACAAAGAGAAAGAAGAGAACTGTGTAGAAAGTTTCCTCTGGTATTACTCCCATGGAACACAGCCCAAGCTACTCATAATCTATTTTCATTTTGGTGAATTGCCATTTCTCATCTCTATGGATAATCCACATGACCATATAACTGCAGATGTAGTTACTAATTTATCTGAAGCCGACCATTACATGCTCATTGCTACTGAGGCTTTCACTTCAGGAAGTAACTAAGAAAAACATAATGCTCCATTTTTCTACTGCCAGAATAATATTAGCTGTGTTAGCACTGAAAAATTAGAGAGAACGGCAATTAAAAATCATACCTGTTGAAATCAGACCAAGTGCAAGGCCTCTGCGTTTGTCAAAATACTGGCAAGTGATGGTAACTGTTGCAGTATACAGAAGGCCACATCCGAGTCCTGCAAAGAAAGAAAAATAAGGCATAAACTGTATTCAGGGAAATGAACATCCGCTTAGTCCCTAGATGTGGTGTACCCCAGACACAGAGATGCTTTTAAACCTGGCTCAGCACCCATCACACTGACAGTGGCATTTGGCTGCCAGCACTGTCCAAACCTTCTCTCCCTACAGCTAATCCCAGTTGCCAAATCTGCATGAAGCTGGCTCAGTTTGAGCAGTTCACCAGCTCACATTTTATGCTATGTGGAAGCAGTTAAATGGCTGGCCTGGGCCAAAATACAGCTTTGTCTGCATGGCACTGTACCATAGCTAGGACACCCTGCTGGGTCCTGATGGCCAGTAAGGCGTCTAGATTCTTGACACAGTTAATTGGAAATTTGATAACCACCCACAGCAGCCCTCTGCAGCAAAGAAACAGCCCCCCTCCCACCAGGAGAACAGCACTTTCATGCCCTTAGCAGAATACCTTAGGTTCAAACCAGTTATGTGGAGAACAACACTGCTCCTTAACGATCTCTAATTTACTAAGTTAGAATGAGTACATGAGTACAAAATTCCTGAAGGGATTTTATTCTTTCAAGATTAGTGCTTCCAACCCACAGAAGACCTGCTTGAATCTACCCCTCCCTCAGGGTAAATGAGTATTTCCATCTCTAGTAATCATATTAACAGAGAACAAACTGCTTTTAAATCCCAAAGAACATATGCATTGCCTTTGTCTTTCACGAGGTAACAGGCTGTGCGACCCACCCTGAAGTAAGTTACTCCGTGGTAACTCAAGTCCCAGACTATAGCTGCCTCTGTGAATCAGCTTCTTTCAGATTACTAAACCAAGACTTAAAAAGCTCTAAGTCTCTATATGAAAGGGAGATGTTTCTTACCAACAACAATCCCATATGAAAGATAGAGAAAGTATATGTTTGGTGCAAAACTGCTCATCATGAGGCCACCAGCCACCATAAAGCCACTGAAGATTGCTACTGGTCTTGCTCCAAAGGATGATACACATATGCTGCACACAGGACCTAGGTAAAAAGCAGGAAAAACAGTTCTGTAAATAGCAGTAACAGGAAGAAATACAAAAACCTTGGTCAATGTTCCTTGTGATAATAAATATATAATTACACTAAAAAACAATTGAGTACACACGGGATTCTTTAAGAGTAGGTTATAAAAACATGAAAGATCAAGCTTGCAAGAATTCTGCTCAAGGAATACAAAATTATAAGAGCAGGGAGGAAGGGAGAGAGCAAAATATAATATAAAAATAGGGTGATACATACATTCTATACTATAACACTGTGACTACAAACCTGAGAACTTGTACGAAGGTTCTGAAAAAGAGCCTTCATCTGTACGTACCAAAAAATTTAGACCCTCAGCCAGGCTTTAGCCAAGTAGACTTTTTTTAATAGAAACAAAAAACGGTGTTTCAGAAAGGAGTATCAGTAGGCATCTTGATATGAGATGAAAGGTAGAAAAGCGAAATGGAAAAATCTGATCATAATCACAGTAACAATGCCACCTGGTGCTTAGAGAGAGGAAACATCTGCTGATGTAGTACATAAAGTCCAATGGTACTCTTCCCTGATTTTTGAGGGAACATCTGCCCGTCAGTATTTTATTAAATAACTGTTCATTACCTGCCTTGACTATTATTGTAAAATTATGGAAAATAGAAGTCATTTATTGAGAACGTCCAGAGCAATGTTTACAAAACTTGCAAGAAGTTTCTCCTTCTCTTTGTCCCCCAACATTTCCTGGTTGGTTGGTTTTTCAAAACAAGAAGAAAATACAGGCAACAGCCATACTCTGCCTCTACTGAATCAGTTCTTCCCTCACAGAAGTTGTAGAACAAGCACTTAATTTTCTGTTGTGTGGCCTTTTAGCATGCAAGCTCCGCATCCTGCATAAATAAGTAACCAGCATGGGACTCGGCTCACAAAAAACAAATTCTCTTCTGAAACCCCCCAGTTCCAAACATTCATAGACGTATCTCAGACCCACAATCCTAAATTTGTCAGCCATGAAATTAGAAGTTTGATATACATTCAAGTGACATTTTTTAAAGAACAAAACAAAACAAAAACCCCTCACCATCTTTGCATCATGTTCACATTGATAAAAAGGCACCTCACAGTCAATAGAGTCTGTGAAAGCAGTAATTTCAGAGTCTGCTCTTTTTCAGGTCGGTTCTCCGACTCACACAGAACTACGATTCCTGGCAGATGGGAGCTGAGCCCAGACATGATATAAGGTGAACAACAACACTTGGAGCTGATGACGGTGCTTGCCTAGGTTTACAGACAGGAGCTAGCAGCTGGGAATGCAGATAAGGTGTTTGTGTGGTTACCAGCCATGGGACAAGGAGTCCTGGCAGGCAGGAGCACTGATTCGTTAGCAGGTGAAACAGCCCTCAGATGGAAAGCAGGTCAGAACTTCTGCCTTATGTGAGAGCTGTTTGCTTAGGAAACTTAAAGAGAACAGAGTTTGAACTGAGATTTAACTAGGCAAAAAGTCAAAGTTCAAGAAGAAAGGAGAAAATCTTCTGGGGAAGTTGGGTTTACATGCATTCTGGAAACAATGAGAAAGGAAGATATAAGCACTTGCTGCTTCTCAAGAACCAGCACGCTGTGGGAATGAAAGCCAGCCAGAATAACTTGGGCAGAGCAACTTGCCAAGAACAAAAGCTGAGAGTGTTAGATTGATGCTGATTCCTAGAATTACTTACAAGAACTGGCAAATTAAGATTGGCATGTTTCTTAAAATTGCAGGGTTTATAATAAATAAAGGATTTAATCTGCATCATATTAAAAAAAAAAAAAAAACAAACTTCTACACTGAAAGAACGTTAGGCAGTGATAACATAATTCAGTTAAGCAGAGGAATTTGCATGCTTTCTACCCATTATTTCTTACCCACTGCCCTGCTGAAACAAACTATTTCCCTTACACGTTCTCTCTACGTTGTGACATATTCTTCTTTCAGAAGCTCTCTGCCCAGCCTGCAGTGCTGATATGGATTGCACTGGTTGCTAGCAAAGGATTCAAAGTAAAATGGGATCTCCTGGAACCCAGCCAAGGAAGGCAAGGGGAGAAAGAACTGAGGAACACATCTGCATACTGTGACAAGGGCACTCTTCTCTGGAACATCATCAGAAGCAGCTCTGACAGGGTCCAAGGAGATGTTCTTCCATCTTCTTCCCATTACAAAAAATAATCCCAAAAGAGAATAGAATGTACAAAGAGATCTTTCTGCTCTGACATGGAAAATAACCTGCACATAACTAAATAACTCATTCCAGTAAGTTCAGAATTAATATGTCGTCTCACACAGCAAGAGATTTGGCATCTCAGCAATGGCTCTGTTTATAAGAAGGAGCACCACTAAAGCAGTTATAGATCTCCAGGATGAGAAGAAAAACAGATCCATCTTCCCTTCCACAACAGGCCTTACTTTCTCACTCCCATTATTATACTGCTAGAAAATAAGTCACAAAAGAAAATCCCCACAAGAGCAAGCATCTTTGTTTCATTTTCCTGCCTCTCCACAGTTCTTAACTCTGTTTCCCAAAGAACACTTTTTTCAATAGGCAAAGTATGTTTGGTTATTACCATGGTATTTGCACAGGAGTTTACTGTACACAAACATGTCATTCTCTACAAGTAATTCAAGCACAATGGGTTCAAAGCAGTTAAATCTGGTCGAACATTCAGCTTTCCCAGAATGGGACTGAGACTTGCTCTGTGAACTCCTGCCCTGTGGATTTTGTTCAAAGTGGACGCTTGTATTCTCAAGAATGTAAGAGTCAACGCACAATCACACAGCAAAAAGATTTACAGGCAGTGTAAAGGTTTTTATTTAGTCAAATGTTTCAGAAGGATCCTTCTACTGATAATACATTTCCCATCATAACATGAACAGAAAATAGAATCCCAGTGGCAATCCTCAACAGGAAGCACAGATAACATTTTGTAGGCCAGGATTTTCTTCAGTTTCCTAAGCAACTCCAGAGGTTAGAACTAGAATTGGAATATTTGAAGACATGGCTCACAATATACCTCTCTTACAAATTAAATCTCAGAGGGTTTTTTTCTTTTTTTTTCTTCCAAGTAAAGTCTATCAGGAAGAAACCAGCCCACTTTACCAGAAGGGCAGCTAACTCTAGGAAGAAAACTGAGTTCTCTGAAAGACTTCAAAGGCAGCACTGGAACTGCCAGTGGTGTTCTGCATACAACCTATCAATGATCGGCTGCCTGGTAATTGTTCTATATGCAGAAGAGTGGTCCAGATGCTCCCTAGAAAAAAAAAAAAACTGGAAGAGGCGGCAGAAAAGACATGCTTTCTCTTGATGGAAAATGATCAAAGGGAAAGAACTCCAGAAAAGAATCAAGTTTACACTGATATTTTCATTAGGATTTTCTAAATAAATAAAAGATTTTACACTCAGTGAGATCTGGATGTGACAGTGATTCCTTCATGAAATGTGAAAACAAGCCATATGCTGCTAATGCAAGATCTTCACAACTGCTCTGATCTTCCGACCTCTGTAGACACACTCCTTCCAAACAGATGCTTCCGTCTGCAATTTCACTACAGAGCTGTTTTCTTTTATGACATCAAGAGCTAACACTCTCTTCCTCAGTGTTCCCACACAAAGCAAAAAAAAAATAAAAAAATACTGCAAACAAATACGCTCTTCCTTCACCCTCATATCTACAGTCCTCCTTCCTCACTTCACAGCTACTAAACAAACAATGCTGGGCAACAGTTCTTTTTCTTATCACCCACATTAATCTGACCCACCTTACCTGTTGGTATCTCTACTAGCTCCTTGAAACAGAAGAGTAAGAGCAATGCTCATAAACTGTAAGTAAAATAAACTGGACATAACACAAGAACATTTTTTGCATACTACAAGCATTGCTAAAACCTGCTGAAAAAAAACACAGCATCCTCTAAGAGGTTTCTATAAGAACACAGATAAGAAAAAGAAATCCCTCTCCAACTCATTAAAGAAGATCACTCCCTTTTGATAAAATTTTTAGATGGTCTGGGCTTCTCTTTGGAGGAATCTGGGGACCCTCTCCACTCCTTCCATGTTCTGTACAGTTTCCACAGCCATGGGTGGGAGCTACCCATGTGCAAGGTTTTTTGTCTAAAACTCTGTAGATGGTCTTTTGCAGAGTTGTACAAATATTGCTTGACAATACAAAAGTTCACCATTTTTTCAGACATTTAATACAAAGAACCTCAGGCCAGCAGAAACAGTCCATTAATTTATCAAGACCTGCTTTTCAAGAAAATCTTCCCTTTGTTCTTAATCCATCAATAAAGGGAAGTGGGAATGAGAGACATACTGCTGGCTTACAGTAAACAGCTGTGGTGCCAACTACGGGTGCCAAGGTCTTTGTCTGTTTTGCTTTTAACAAGTATAACATGGATCTAATTTAATTTCAGGCTCCAAATGGATGTCAAATTAAGAACACTTGGTGCAGGAGAAACAATCTTCAAGAACATAATACATATTTTCCTCTGGCCTGCTTTACCAAGCAAAACATAAGCGCTTTTAATTTCTTCCTACACAACAAGTCCTACATCATCTCTGGAGCCATCTCCCACATCTATGATAACCAATCAGTGTTATGATATCTCATGTAGTAGACATTGTCTCACCACTGCCCTGTACAATGACACTGATGCATTCTCCTTTTTTTTTTTTTAACTTGCTCTTCTTTCAACACACGGTCATAGAAAGTTCCAACTTGAGTCATCCCACAAGGAAGCAATCGGTCAGGCCCCTGTCCCACTTCCGTTTCTAGCTGATGAACTTTTTTCAACTCAGAGCTGGATTGTCCTTAGCCACACAGCCTGTACTCCAACGGGACAGTAACTGAACACCAGAGTACCAGGGAATTCGTCTCAATAAACAAGGTGCTGTACTAGGTTTCTATGTCTTGGCCTAAGTTTAGCTCTCACGCAAGCAGAGTAAACACTGTAGAAAGGATATCAGCAAAACAAATGTATCAGCACTCACCAGCATCTACTACTTTAAAAAATGTTTAAAACTACATTTACAGACAGGACAGAAACTTTTCTCACTGCCAACTGTCTTTCACATAAGGACATAGTCCTGCTTTCAGTTAAATTACAGTATCTATCTAGCAAACTCACTAGACATACCTCTCACTGTCACAGAAGTTATCTGATGTATTTTTCAATGCTGATAATGAGAAAACAAAACAAAACAAAAAAAACCCAGAAAACTGGTATCAATGACGAAAAGAGACTGAATCAAAGTATACAGGCTTAAAAGAAAAAAATAATTACATTGCAGTCTCCAAACACAAACAACACTTATCCTGGACACTTCAAATATATCATTTTTAAAGATAAACTTGTTAATCAGCTGAAAGTTAAAACTAAACAACCTCTATGATAAGATTACATACTCTCAAGGAAGCAATTAACTACTGAGAAAAGTTACAAGAGATGGAGAATGCGCTAAACAAACACTTTCTGATAATTTAGAAAAATATCTATTAGCCTGATCATCTATTTAACATAGGCTACAACACACAATGGTCCTGTGCATCTGGCCTGTAATACTAGAACCTGCAATTGATAGAACCAGAATTGATAACAAAAACAAGTTCACTTGTTCTATGATCATGAAAAGGTTCTAACACTGCAGTGTGTTATACCATTGGTTTTGCACTAAAAACACATGCTTTTTGCACTAGTGACTGGGTCTTTCCTGCTATGAATTCTGCAGGAAAAACAGTTTCTGTAAGAGACTGCATGTTCCACAAACAAGAATGAAAATACTCCTTGTACCAATCTAGAAGGCTAATCTACTGAAGCCCTTGGAATTTTAACATGATAAGAGATTGAGACATTTCTACAAATAAAAAAAAAGGATTAATTAACCGTATCTTTTTACAGGCTTTTTGTAGCCATTCCTGCTCTTCAATGAGCTGATCTTTAATAAAAACACTTTTAGAGAATTACAGTTTTTAAGGTCACTTTTTACGCAACATGAAAGAATTCTGATGAGCTTTACAGTCACTGACACTAATGCATCCTTCTTACACAGCAAGGAAAGAGGAACAAATCTCCCACAGAGAGCAACAGAAGATATGATGGGTGCACAGATTCATGAGCATCATCAATTTCATTATTTTAGTCTTTGCTAAACCTCCTTCATAAGTCCCTTATTTGCAATAAAGAGCTTTTATCGTCAGAGCCAGAAATTACTCCCTCAAGACATAAGATTTCATATAAAAGAACAACGGGATTTTTCCCTTATTTCCTGCTGTGAACACCGAACCAACTGGACAACATCATCATTACTGTGTTTATGTTAGTCCCACAGAGAAACTTTTACATACTTCAATTTAAGGGGTACTGGGGGAATTTTCCAGTAGGATACCAGCACATCACAGAATTGTAAACCCTCAAAAGCATTCTAGTTTTCAGTAGAGGTTAGGATAATCACAGTGCCCTTCAATAAGTTTAAATCAAGTAGAGTTACTACTAAGGTCAGATCCCAGCTTGACAAGACAGCAGGATCTTCCATTTAACATAGAACAGGGGACACAGCTTTTGTTTTCAGTCAACTCTGATAACTTCAATGCAATTAAAATATTTCTCTGTACTTTTCTCTGAGCTAAAACTACAAATTACTGCTCAGCTTTCAAATCCCAAACTGAAATAATAAAATCATACTGACAGACTGTCAAAACGTCAAGCAATTTAATCATTCCACACCAAAGCAATTTATAACAGCACCTTTTTCCTGCACCATTCAGTCACAGAAGTTTCTATTTGCCTAAAAGCACATTACTGACAACTGATCACAGAGGCAAGGCAGAGGGAACTAAGAAAGCTGGAAATTAGCACAGTGTTGCCATATGAAGAAAGGGTCTGAAGCTCTCATTAGAGGAGTGAGCCAAAGACTTCCAGTCTGCAGAGAGGTTTTTCCTCGCTCCTTCTCTTGCAATCCCCTTCTGCTTAGTTTTCCTTCAGTAACTATCTTGTTTGGCCTTATTTCTCCCACAAGTTTATTTAGGCTTTAATCCTTTCATAATAAGAGTAAACGCCCTCAAAACAGAAAAGTAAAATTCTATAAGAGAAGAATAGACTCATACATCCTCAGACTGAATATAGTTGTGTGGTGAACCATCTGCCTTTGCCTCTTCCTGTTCTGCCTAGTGATATAAATCCCTAACACAAATGCAAGAACAGTATTTGGCCATTTAGAGTTGCATAAAGCAGAGGCTTTTGTTCAGTTCTGTATCATGATTTGAATGTCAGTTCTCTTTTCAGGAGAGATTTCCTCAGAATCCTGAACTAGATTTCAGCCATTAAGTTACTTGAATGCTTTTGCCCATAGCAATATTTCTGCTGATGGGCCATTTTTCGCCAGATTCAGCAAAAAGGTAATAGCTCCCTTGACAAATCTTTGAGAAGCAGAAGTTAGTCACGTTACCAGTAGATTACCCATGGCTCAGTAGTAAAACAACAACAGCAAAACGGACCTATGGACTTTCGCAACGGTACTTAATTTTCACAAAACCCTGCTGTTCCTCTTCAGGACAATGTCTTACTATAATAAATAAATAAATAAAAAGCTTCCAGTGAAATTATTTTATTTAATGCCACTTTTATCCATGGCTCAAAAACCTTCAAGAACAGCTTTTTTCACCTCAAACAAAAAGCAAGAGAGCCCAAATCTACTTCACTTGGTGAATTTATTTCTAGAGATAAAAAACAAGTAACTAGTTTATTAACTGACATTTTTTTTTCCTGAAGCACTTGAGACATTTCAGACTAGCAGTTTGCTCTGATTTTAAAGACACTAATGCAAATGTTAGCCAACACCACATAAAAAAAAAAAAAAAAAAAAAGTTAATAAAAAAAAAGTCCTAACAACAAAATTACCATTCAGTTTCTCAAGTATAGTTTGGTATTTGTAGATTCTTCAGATACAGCCATTTTGAATTTTATAAGGTTAATACTTCTTTTGCTATTTTACCATTGTTTTGGTTTATTGAAAGGGTAACTACAAATGCAGTATTCTTACCTATCTTGACCTGAAACAAAAATGCAATATTCCTCATGCTCTTTCATCATTGACAGTTGTGTTAAATACAGTTCCAAAAGCACACACAGATGAAGGCATCTGTTAGAAAGGAAATGTTTCCATTTAAGATAGATACTGTATCTACACTTACTGGCAAGCAATCCGATTCCATTTGCCAGTGATCCAACCCAAGCAGTCTTGCCTTTGCCTTCTCCAAAAGCATCCAACCATTCCAAATACAAGACTCCCACCGCCAGCGGTGATCCGTAACACAAGAACTGAGTAAAGAAGGAAACGATAACAATCACCCAGCCCCAGCCACCATCGGGTGGTTTCTGAAACACCATCTTGTCAGATGAGCATAGATGGACACGTAGACCCTGTGCAAACAAACAAGAAAAAAGAGAGAGTCAGAACAGAGCATTAAAATCTGGGCTTGTTAATATAACTGAGCTGTAGAAGTAAGATAATGCCAAGCAAACTTCAAGAAATATAATAAAAAGCAGCATACAGGCAATGAAGATGAGTTGCCATATGGTATTTCTGATCCTTCATAGTCATATATGGCTCCCGTTGTACAGTGCGAGTCATATATTAGTATGTCACACATCCATCAGCACTGCAGAAATGGATCACATTTCGTTTTCTGAATGCTACGGAAGCTTTGTGAAGGCCCCAGGCACCAATACATGGTGCAGTACAGCAAGAGAAACACTTGGTCACTAGCAGTTATGCCCTTGGTTATCCTAAGCAAGCACACAGGCCCAAAGGCAAAGGAAGACTACAAGTATAAAATAACTCTAATAAATAATTTAGGCATGAAAAAAATTCAGAAGCATAAAAGTATTAGTCCAAGGCATGGCAAGATCCACCATCTGTGCATCTCAGCTTTAAGTAACTAACTGTCCTCACCTTCTTAGGGCTAGTTTCTGAATGTAGGGAGAGGTGCCTCTAACTTGTAGCAAAGAATTTATTAGTTTCCAGACTAAATTGCTTTGGAGTTTGGATGACTCCATTGATACGTGAGTTCCCATGCATGCAACTAACCTGCCCTCCCTCTCTTTAGGGAGCAATCTGCTGAACTGATGATCACAAAACCCATGTTCTGTTCCTGGCTCTCTCACTAACCAGATGTGTGATTTTCAATGGTTTTATTTTCTTTACCCTGTAAGACAGAGACAGATAAGATCTCACTCTGTTTCTTTCAGGACATTTTCACACCACAGCTTAAGCATTAAGAGTGCTGCAGTAATGGTTCTGATCTGGGAGACCCCAGGGGCAAAACAACAAAATAAGCAGGTCTTACTGTCTGTTTGTGAAGAGGTGCCAGTTCTTGAACATTTTTCAGTGAAAAGGGGAAAAAAAAATGACTGCTTTATGAAAGTAATGATCTAAATGAATAGATCGTAACAGAAGTCCCATTCAAGAGTCTGCTCTTCATGATCAGTTTTTAAGGATTCATGTGGAAAACTCACAAAAAAAAACAACAAAAAAAAAAAAACCAGCAATAAAAAATGCAGTATAAAATTGCAAAGAATAAATACTATAGGGTGAGACACGAAAAGAGCTGGTTCTATCTAGTTCATAGACACAATGCTTAAATGTTACTTCAGGAGTAGATACTTACAGATGACAACAGGCAAGTCCTTCAGCCCCCTACAAATGTAGCTTCATGTGGCAGCTCTACCTGCAGAAAAAGAGCAGCAAAGCAACTGTTCAGCCCAAGTATCACTGCAATAGTAGAAACAGTATTTTTACAGAGGAAGTTCAGAAGAATTCAAGTTACGGACTTACCTCAGTGGAGAAATACTGATTCCCTC